TTTCAATTACGTTCTTTTTTCTGATTCCCTTGGAAAACTGGCAGAAAGTTGGATTACATCATACAGTAGCGGAAGTTAAATGACCATAAGATACTTGAAAGAGACTATAGGATTCCCACGCTGCTTGTTTTCTTTTGCTGTCTTATATCATCCATTTGTTTTTGAAAATGTAAAAGAAAATTATTTTAATCACAAAATGTCTCTCCTCCACTCATTACTGAACTCTGCTGTTGAAATTGAAGTTTTATCCTGTTATCAGTACAGAAGGATGTGGGGGGAGAGCAGAGGTGGTGCTGAGCGAGTGAAAACCATTACAAATACTCCCAGTGAATTTCAAGCATTGAGCAGTACTCTAGCCATCACAGCAACGCATTTTAATATCAAAATGTATTCTTTTGGGGGCGAGAAGGTGAAAGAAAGTAAATATATATCAGTACACAGTCCATTCTACATTGATATAGTGCCCTTTACATCAGGGGAACTTCTAAGAGCACTTTGCACAGCAGAGATGTGGAGGGGGCAGAAAGAGAGGTTTTGGGGTAGAAATGACAAATCGGTTGCCAGACATAAATCTTAAGGCAGGCTTTAAAGATAGCGAGGAAAGGAGTGAGATGTGGGAGTGTTTTTATTGAAAAAGTAGTGTCTATTTTGTAACTAACAGCCAATTTGTGCGTAGAAGTGTCCCACAATTATTCATGAAGTGAAAAATACAAATTTACATTTATAAAGTGCCTTTCACGTCAAGGGGATATCCCAAAGCGCTGCATTGGAGTGTTGGCTTAGACTATATGTTCCAAGGCCTGACGCGGGGCTTGAACCACCAGTCTTCTGACTCTGAAGCAAGAGTGCCACCAACTGAGTCAAGCTGACACTAAGTACAGCACAGAATGTGGTCATCTTGAGCATCGAGTCTGCGGTCGCTTGATTACCCACTTGAACATATCCCCTCGGTCTTTCCCTGCACCGTTCAATATTTTTCTTCATATGTTCATCCAATCAGTTTTAGTTTCTGTTACAGAATTGACTTCAGGGTCCTTTCCTATTCATGGTAGGGTTTTCCATTTTGTATCCCTTTCTGTATCTAGAACGTTTGCTGTTTTGTAAGATCAATTGATCGCTGTTCATTTGGATTTTACCTTCATTGTTTGTTTTAGGGTCAAACGGCCAATTCCAGAATGTTCAGTTTATGACTAAACCCTCTTCTCGACCAGAGTGTGAGAATTTTGACCTGTGACGTGATCATTGTTAAATAATTATCACTGTTGATTGAATGCTGTCAAAGGGGCAAGTCAGTGACAGATAACCAACTGTGGTTCTTGCCCTCTCTTTCCTCCTCCCACCCCCTACCCAATTGATTCCATTAGTGGCTGGACTTGGCTGTGGGTCAGTTGTGCTGGTTAGTTGGATATCAGTTCAACTCAACAGGAGAAATTGGAGCTAAGCCTGTACCCCATGAACAATCCAGTGCCATGACCCGAGAGCTGATAAGTCTAATGGTGGTAGGGCCTAATTTGGTCAGGCCTAATTTTCCTCCAAGTGGGAGGGCGGAGGTTATTGTGGTGGGGGCAAGCGGGGGTGAGGGGCTCAAAGGGTACCACAGTAAATGTTCGGTACTGACTTGCTTTTTTGACTTGATTCATCAACGGTGATAATTTTTATACTTATGGCCAGTCTTTAGTTATTGATTGGCCTCCCTAGTTCTGTTTATCAGTGATGCGATTATCATCAGTCATAATTAATCCATCCCAGGTTACAAGTTTCACCTCTACAGATGAAATTAATCTGTTAATCATCCAACAGCAGGGACAACTATCTTGCATGCTACATTAGTGACTGCCAAGGAGAAATTCAAAGCCTGATGACCTTGCCCTTTTGGCTGAAGGATAAGCTAACATTTGGGAAAAAGAATTGAGATTGAGGAGCTGTTGAAAAATAACGATTTTTATCCATCTCTATGTAGAACTGAGTAGTTAACTTTAGAAAGGCTTACGGTTTTACCATAAAAAAAATTAGCAGCAATTTCTAAGTGTACTTGAGTATTTATCTGAAGACTCCTGAAATCCTGGCACGCTCCCAGTCTGGCATGAAGCCAAAGTGCAGTGAACATGCAAGAGAGAAATTCCTGATAATTAACAAAGTTTTCAAGTTAATGAGATGCACTTAACCAACATAGAATGGGAAGAGCTAGGAAATGGGGGAATTGCTTTTCAGAACTCCTGGGATCCCTTGAAGTTTATTGCAATCATTCTATTTGCCCCCAAATGATGCTTAAAACAATTTGTACGCTACAAATTGAGTGTTTTAAAAAAAATCTTTGCTTTTGCATTTCAAGTACTACATTCAGTACTTGTGGTGAATGTATTGAGAGGTATGGAGGTCTATAATTTGGAGAGATCGCTGGATACATTTAAGATGTGTTGCCAGCAAGTGACTAGTGCTTGACAGTTTACTGGAACTCAGCTAATTTATTTTTCACAAACCAATGGTTTCAAGCACTGGTGTGGGGTTGTGGATCGTAGCTGTTCAGTCCGCCTGTTGTGTTGGCTCCCATCAACGTTTTCTCTCCTGTTGGTCTGAACTCCTCAACCTCCTCGGGGTCTCCCTCAAACTCTCTGAACCTGTGTGCAACTTAGGCCTCAGGTTCGATCCCCAGCTTTCCTTTCTACCACACATCCATTCCCTGACCAGGACCGCTCTTTTCCACCTACACCACATTGCCCACCTCCGTCCATACCTCAAGACGCAGCTGAAGCCCTCATCCATGCCTTCGTCACTTCCCGGCTGGACTATTCTAATGCCCTCCTCGCTGGTCTCCCCAGCTCCACCACACACAAAATCAATTAATGCAAAACTGCACTGCCCAGATTCTCACCTGCACAAAACTCCATATTCCCTTCACACGAGTCCTTGCCAGGCTCCACTGGTTCCCATCACCAAACGGATTAACTTCAAGATCCTCTCATTCGTTTTCAAATCACTTCATGCCCTCGCATCTCCCTACCTACCCGACCTGCTTACCCCCACTGCACCACCCACTGCCTCACTTGGTTCCGGCCTCCTGTTTGTCCCTCGTGCCCTCCATTCCACCATTGGTGGCCGTACCTTCAGCCACAACACCCCAAAACTCTGGAACTCTCCCTCAATCCCTCCGCCTTGCCTCCTCCCTCCCCACCTTCAAATCCTGTTTAAAGACCTTCCTTTTTGATCGTGCTTACGGTCACCGCCCCACTCCCTCTCCCCCTGATTCGTTATCAGACTTCACTACTGTGAAGCACTCCAGGACACTACCCCGCATGACGGGAGCTATATAAATGTAAGTTGTTGTTGTGTTGCTTGTCTTAGTTTAGCAATTTGGAGGTCTGTATTCTGCACGCACAGCAATAAGAGGGAGAGATCTCCAAGAGTTTGTATTAACATGCGATGATATTCGAGATGAAGGATGAACAATTTTGATCCAATCCAAGACATTTTATCAAATATATTTTCAGTTTATCGATCACAAATCTGTAATTGTATAATTTACCTTACTCCTGAGGTTTTCAGAAAATTGGATTTATTTATGAAAAAAAGTAACTTTTGCAGTTAAACTCTCTGCTTCCATGCAGCTTCCAAAAGCTGTTATGTACAGTGTTGGCAGAGAGTTCTGAAAACGTGCTAGCCCACGTTTCCAGCCAGGGAATAGTGCACGATTCAAGGTGACCTAAAAGGTGCTGGAATGCTGTTAATTTGGGAGGAGGGAAGAAACTGGTTTGTTTCTACTTTGTCACATGTTCACCTTGAAGAGAGTAAACTGCTGTGGAAACCGTGTCCCAAATGAAGTGTAAAAAGCCTCCTTCAGTTACCTGCTACCAAAATCACTGGAAATGCTCACAGGAGCAGTTGTCACTGACTAGATTACTTCTTGCAGAAAGTGACCTCAGCCATGCCCTGACAATCCAGAAGTGCTGACAAGTGTCCATTTATATCATGCGACTTGTATCACACTGGGTATGTTTTTTATGAACCAAAACCAGTGTGTTGTAATTGGACAGGAAATGTTTGATAAGAGTTTAGTGGATTCAGCCAAACCACAAAAGGATTATCATGTGCTGTATGGGTAAATATTCTACCTGGGTCGAGATAAGGGGAGTCAAACATGCTGTAAATTTCATATGAATGGTAAATTCATAGTGGTACTAAATGACATTTTCATTTTCACAGTCTGCCAGTATTTTTTGTTCAATGATGTTAAATGTGTTGTATTTTGGAATTTAAGTTAAATATTGAGACTTTTGAGACTTAGCATTAACCTGCATACTTTTTTGATGACTAGGAATTGTGCAGTGAGGGTAATGTTTCGTGCAAATTGTTGCATTTGAGCAAGTGTACACACAATCACTGTCGGCATTTTCAGGTATAGAATTATGTATACCTTCTTTTATGGTGGGGCCCACCAAGTGAACTTAAATGGCCCTTGCCGGTCTAGATTTACTCTAATATTTCAGAGCATTGGGAATTTGTCACTGTTAAATGCTGAAGCTAATTCTGGAGCTGGTTTTCTGTAAATTATTTTAAGAACCACAGAAAACTGGATTCAAATTTAAAACTGACTTCAACAGTTTGTAAATTATGCACACACTGAAACATTACATCAGTGAGTAAATCTAATGGAGTAAATCTGGAGACAGGTGGAATTTTACCCCAGATATTGTAGCAATTCTGATTCTTTCCCCCTCCCCTTCTCCTATTGTTTTGGGAAATAAATCTTAATGCTTCAATCGTGCAAGGAATATTCATACCCACCACTGAAAATGGGAAATAGCAGCTATTGATACAGGAGTTAATGCTAGACAGGAAAAAGGAATCTCGGCAAAGTTCCGATTGGTAGAGCAATTTATGCACTGGTTTTTAAATAGAATAGGCTCTTGGGAGTGCTGCTTCTCCGTATACAGTGCTTACGTGCTGATCATGCATTAGCGTCATTAGCAAAGAGGAGGGATGTAATTTCTTCTCTATCAGTGGGGCTTGGTGTCACCAAGCAGTCATATGATTAAGTGATCAGGACAACTACTTTCCACTGTGTGAGCAATGCAGTTCTTTTGAATTGATTAATAAAATGCAGTTTTCAGCTTCTGTCAATATCTAGAAGCCATGCATTCCAAAAAGGTCAGGTTAGTGAAACTAGCATATACTTGTCTATTGCTTTACAGCGGATGCTGTTTTCTTGTTGTTATTTGTGAGAGTGGCTGTCAGTGCTGCATTCTTCAAAACTATTGAAATGTATGCTTCCATTTATTTCAAGGGGTTATTCATCAAGTGTGAAATTAAAGGGCAAGATATATTAGGATGTTCTCTGATTCCAACCCTGAATTATGGTTAATCTTATTCTTCCCCACCTGTTAAAGTTATTTTGCATGAATCAATCTTAACAAAAGAGAAATATAACAATTTGAACTGTTAGTTTAACACTATATGAATTTGACAGTTGTTTTGAGCCCTTTATATTTGTCATCTGGTTTTGCAATATTTTTAATACAATCTTGTCATCGTATTGAGCCTTGTAAGTAGTTTTTCTGGGCCTTGTGTTTTGCTCTTCGAATATATATGGGGAGAAATTCCACCTTGATCTTCTTTTACTCTCTCCATGGAGCATTTCGGAGTGTACAGAATTTGGCAAGTTATTTAAATACAGTTTACACTACTAGGTTTGAAGCTTGTTTTGTGGAAGTTCTTTTAAGAAATACTTTTAATAATTATCTTTAAAGTTGAGACTGAATTCAATTATTTGCCAAACTCTGCAGTATGATACCTAATGTAGAGTACATTGTGACGCAGATGGAATTTCTCTTATAGTGGTGGTCTTGACTATTCAAGTGCCCTCCTCACCGGTCTCCCTAGCTCCACAAACCACAAAATCCAGTTAATCCATAAATCTGCTGCCCACATTCTCATCTGCACTAAACTCCAAGCCCACATCACACCAGTTCAGGCTCCACTGGCTCCCTATCACCGAACGGATCGATTTTGAGATCCTCACACTAGTCTTCATGCCCTGGCACCTCCATACATCTCCGACCTGCATACTCCCCACCCTACCACCGGAGCCTCTGCTCGACTGGCTCCAGCCTCCTGCGTATTCCTCGTGCCCTCCTTTCCACCATCGGTGGTCGCGCTTTCAGCCACGGTCGGAAGTCTTGTCATTTGTTGAGGCATTGAAACTGAAGTCCACCCTGTCAAGATCCCATGGTGCTAATTGATAAGAGAAAGGAGAATATCCCTATGTCTTGGCCAACAATCCCCAGAGAAGAAAAAAGGTCATTCACTTTTACTATTTGTAAGATATCACTGGGGACAAATTAGCCTTCAACAACGAATTATACTTATATAGAACCTTGTGAATCGAGGGATAGTGGAAGGATACCAGACAGCACAGTCATAAAGAGGAAGGTGTTGAGATGGGTCTTGAAGGAAGCAAAGGAGGGGGCAAAGTGAAGGGATGCTGGGATGGAGTCCCAGAAGGTGGAGAGCCCAGCAGAGCAGAGAGCCCAGCAGCGTGAGGTAGAACAGAGTGAGAATTCTGTTAAGGAATTTGGTGAGAGTGGGAATTGGGAGCATAGGGGGAAAGAGGTGAATATTTATAAAATATATAATAGTTTTATTAATGGATGAACAAGGGGACACTATTTCCACTGGTGGGTGAGTCGGTAACCTGAGGATACCAATTTAAAATTGTTATTAAAAGGGAAGTGAGGAGAAATTTTTTCACATAGTGAGTTGTTCAGATCTGGAATGCATTGCTCGAAAGGGTGGTGGAAGCCAATTCGATAACAATTTTTAAGAGGGAAGTAGATAATTATTTGGGGAGGACAAGTTTGCAGGGCTATGTATATCAGCTGTGAATGTGAACCACAGGTGCTAGCAAGCTGTGCGACGCATCTCCTTCAAGCCCGATCTTGAAGCGCCCATTTGAGCCTTTTCTTGTCCACAACATCTGCGGGCTCACTCATGACAGTGTGGGTCACTGGAACCCAATCAGGTCAGGAGTTGCAATCTGGTTGGTATATCTTTCTGCTCTCCAGCCATGAGGTAGGTCATTTGTAATACTCGAGGCTCAAGAGTTCCTAAAATATGTTACAATAAACAATTTAATAATTGTAATCTCAAGTTTTTTTTTCCATGAGCATGCAACATATCTGCTGTTTACCATTGTTTTTCCAAATTTTAGTTCCTGTAGCTAGTAACAGACTAGATTTTTGGTGTGGTTTGAAGTGAGTGTTCAAGTCATTGAATGACAAGTGACAAGAGCAAGTCTCAAAACTAAAAGAAAGACTATAGGTACTGTAGATCTGCAATAAACCCCAGAATCCTGGGAATCACGATGAAGGCCCTTGTTCAAAAATAACTCTCTTTCTGATACTCGATTTGAATTGCTTCAAATTTCCAGTACTTCCTGATTTTATTTCAGAGCAGGTGCTGAAATGCATTGTTTGTGTTAACTTGAGGTTGAGATATTTGACGTGGCTGAACAGCACCAGGATTTCCAATGTTGTAATGTGGTGCAGCACCATCCTACACTGCCACAAGATGGTTGAGAGTATTGTTAGCTCTTGATTGGGTCTGTTTTTTAAGCTATTGTAGCCAATTGCCTTCATTAAAACATCAAACACAACTTAATTGCTCAGTGCAGTTTATTCAATAACAATTTGCATTTATATATGTATCTCTATTCATGTAACTAATATTCTTTCTGTTCCTTACCAATTGGAGATTTGAATTCTTCACCATTTTGCAAAGGTTGGGTCACATTTCTTGTGCAGATCTAAAGCAGCAAATGAGACATTTCCTTATTCTAACAATACTGACCACTCTGTGTCAAACCTTATTTGTTACGTTTTTTTTCCCCCATTCAAGGAAATGAAATGCACATGAAACGTATTGGTTTGGCTCCTGTGTAATCTCAAATTGGTCTATTGAACGTACTTTCCATCAGATATATGCAGCCAAAAGTGGATTGGTTGGCTTGATGTCTGTTTTCACTGTCCATAACAAAGTAGCCTCTGTTTGCTATATTAAAAACTGAAATTAGTAGGTGGTTAGCTCACGTGTTATGCAGACAGCTTTGAATTCCATGCACTGTGCAGATTCCTCTTTCTCCCTCTGAAGTGTATTTATATATAGCTTCTCTCCTTGATTCCTGAAACAATTTCAGATTTATAAGTGCAGAGTATTACAACAATGATCAATAATTAATGTTGATCCATATATTATCATCTTACAGTATAATTCCACAGAGCTGAAGATACTGTATAAATGGAGGGATCAGTTTAAAGTTGCCATCTGGCCTTATGTTTGTTGGAAAAATCAAACATGACCAACGGCACAGAATTTACAAAAATACTTAATTCACAGAGGGATTGTTGCTAGGAGTAATGTGGCCAAATATTTATTCCGGGGAAATGACTACATGAATATTCCCCAAACAAAGGCTGCATGAATGCCTCATCACAGATAGGGGATCAAATGTGTAGTTGAAATTCTACCAACGTTGCCAGATAATCAGTCACTCATTTCACCCCTTCCCCCATTACTTCCCGAGAATGCAATATAATGTTTCACTTCTGTCTCCAATTTTCTCCTGTCTTGAAGCTGCTGTGTTATGTTGTGGTTTGGTTCCACACACTTCAGAATCTTGACCTGAGTGACTAATTAAGTTGTTGAGTTTCAGTCGGCTATTTCACGATAGGAGAAAGGCTAATCTTCTTCTGAACCCCTGGCAAAGCTTTGCTGAATTGTATTGAGGAGAAGGACTTCGGCTGACTTCTAATCCACCCCCCAATTGCTCAGAGACTGTCTCATGTTTGACTGTTGCCCAGCTGAACAACACTTTCAATAACTCAGGGAAAGAGTGGAGTCCTGTAGCTCAGTGGTTAGAGCACTCGCTTTGCAAGCGAGAGACCTGAGTTCAATTCCAGGCAGGTCAGGGCGAAACCTTGGGCAAGTTTCCTTACTCCACACGCCTAATAATAATCCCTCCAAAACCAAAAACAATAATAAATTGGCATTTTCAATCTACGACTGTTTGTGGGACATTGCTGTGCGCAATTGGCTGCCGCGTTCGCCCACAAATTTACAGTCAATTCACTTTACAGTGTGTTCTGTGAAGCGCTTTGGGACGTCCTTCCGACGTGAAAAGCGCTATATCGAATACAAGGATTATTATTATTATTATTTATTAAGACTTTCCTGGTCTGGATGCCGCAGTTTGATACCGATCACTGCTTTGTTAATTGAACTAGTGAGCAACTACTTTCACAGTACCTGGCTCTTTGTCTTTCAGATTCCCACTTTGGTCAGAAGCAATGTTTCTGCTGCTGAACATTACCTAATAAGTGCAATTGTGTCCAGTTCTTTTTCTCCATTACCCCTTCTGCAGCGGAAACTCTGAAATCTGGGTGCTGTCCTTACATACTTTGATATTCAAAGAGGTGTGTGATCATGCTACTTTGCTATTTAAAATGCATCTGATTTGTGAAGGTTATAAAATGTAGACTGAAAGATTACTGAGTGAGTAATCATGGTCTAACAAATGTCTTATATGATCCAGACACGCCTTGTTCTGTAATGTAAGCTTGGCTCAGTGTAGCACTCTCTGAGTTAGAGGTTATGGGTTCAAGCCCCATGTGGGTTCAAGCCCCATGTGGGGACTCAGGGTTGCAATCCCTCTGCTCTTTTGGAATCCTGGCATTTCAGGGTTTCAATGCCCCATTTGGAATCAACAACAACAACTTACATTTATATAACGCCCTTCACTCAGGGTAGTGTCCCAGAGTGCTTGACAATAGCGGAGTCTGACCCCGAGCTGGGGGAAAGGGAGGGTGGAGGTGACCGTAAGCTTGCCCAACAAGGAAGGTCTTTAGGGGGGATTTGAAGGTGGGGAGGGAGGGGGCAAAGTGGAGGGATTGACGGAGAGAGTTCCAGAGGTTCTGGGGCGTAGTGGCTGAAGGTGGAGCGGAGGGGATGAGGGACGAAGAGGAGGCCAGAGCCAGCCGAGTGGAGGCAGTGGGTGGCGGAGTGGGGGTAAGCAGGTCGGATAGGTAGGAAGGTGCGAGGGCATGCAAAGATTTGAAAACAAGTGAGAGATCTTGAAGTCGATCCATTCGTTGATT